GGGCGGAAGGGCCGGCCAGTGCTGCCCGCCAAAGGAAAGCAGAGGCTCTCGTTCGGTTTGCGGGGGTTCAGGGTTGATTTGTTGCTGGCCCTATCAATGGGCTCCCTTCCGGAAAGGGTGTTTGGGGGAGGGGAGACGTCAGCTTCCGTTTTCTACTAGCAGGAAATGTAACCCCCCTGACATTCACAGTCGCAGTGTGCTCAAAATCTGGGGCTGGCAGGAGCTGGGAACCTGAGACTCAGAAATGACATTTAGACCGACCTGCTGCACAGGGCCAACAATTCCTCCTCCTCGCTCCCTGCTCAGCGCCACCCAGAACTGACGAGGGCTTTGGAGCTTAGAAGAGAGACCACGAAGGGGGCATAGGACAGAGGTCTATAAAATTATGGCTGGAGAAAGGGAATGAAGAAGAGTTATTTACTCCTTCCCATAACACAAGAACTAGGGGTCACCTAATTTAGTGAATAGGCAGCAGGTTTAAAACAAACAAAAGGAAGTATTTCTTCACTCAGCACACAGACAACCTGTGGAACTCCTCGCCAGAGGAGGTTATGAAGATCAGGACTTTAACAAGGTTCAAAAAAAATGGATTTATGGAGGTTAAGTCCATCAATGACCATTAGCCAGGGTGGGCAGGGATGGGATCCCTGGCCTCTGTTTACCAGAAGCTGGGAACGAGTGATGGGAGAGGGATCGCTTGATGATTCCCTGTTCTGCTCCTTGCCTCTGGGGCACCTGGCACTGGCCACAGTCGGCAGGCAGGCCACTGGGCGAGAGGGACCTTCGGTCGGACCCCGTCCGGCCGCTCCAGTGTTCTTGTTTGCGAGCTGTCCCAGGGGCTCCCCCCACGTCGGCTGGGACCAAACAAGCTGCTTTCTGGGCGAGAGCAGCAGCCCTGCATGCGGCTTCAGAGCTGAGCTGCCTTGTGAAGCCAACGCTGTCCTGGAAACGTGGCCCTGCCCCCGGCTGTCCCCGAGCCTTCCCGGGCACCGCTGGGGCCAGGCCGGAGCATCAGCAAAGCAGAATAGGGCGCCCAGGCGTGACCCTTGTGTTCTTCCTATGCACCCATCGGCCAGGCCTTCCCCCAGCAAGCGCCCATCATGCCGCAGCAGCAGCGAGAAGGTAAGGAGGGCGGGGCCCTGCGGGCGGCCCATTGGCTGCTCACATACCCAGCTGGCTCTTCTGGGGCGGGGAGGCATCTTTCGGCCAATGAAGGGTGTGTGTGGGTATGTCTACACTACCCCGCTAGTTCGAACTAGGAGGGTAGTGTAGGCATACCGCACTTGCAAATGAAGCCCGGGGTTTGAATTTCCCGGGCTTCATTTGCATAAGC